TTCTATTATATATGCCTTTTCATGTTAATAAGAAAATTCTTATGTCAGCAACATAAGAAATTCAGTAATTATCTCATTTTTAATGAAATAAGAGATTCTAAATTCAAATTATATAGCATATGAGTAGGGTAGGATATAGGGTAGGATAAAGAATAAAAGATGATTATTTTTTATCATGCAACAAAAAAAATTCTTATTATATTTTAAATGCTTGTAAACTTAACTCTTTCTTAAAAGATTTCAAATTTGAGCTTCCTTTATTAGTTTTGAATACAAGAAATTGAAAATGAGCCGATAGTCACATCAATTTGGAACTTTCTTAATTAATGAACGTTAGCAATATGTTTATTCCTTCTAATCATTGTTAATGCTTCTAATCACTAGATATAGGTATGCACAAGTGGCTTGATTTTTTTGTAGATGATTAAATATTCGTGTAATTAAACTTATAATCCTACTTAACGTTCCAATTGGATTAGGACAGATAGTCTAATAAAACCAGGACAAGTGTTCCTTTAAGAACATCCAATGAAGGAAGGAAGTCCAAGAATTTAGTATGAATTATTAGTCAAGAGTCAGAGGTAAAGGCAGACAGAGAGCATATTAGGGAAAAGTTGAATTAAAGTTGAAATGAAGTGAGAAAGGTCCCTCCACCCACTAAACATGTTTTACTAATTTAACTAATCAAGGGGGAAATAGAGTTAATTAAAGTGATTAATTTTAGATTAAAATCACAGAAATGACTGATAATAGCTGGGGTTAACTTTCGACTGATTTGAATAGTTTTATCACCAAATTCATGGTGAGCTGGTTTCACTTGAGGTTTTTTTTTTTTTTTTTTGCCCCCTAATTTTTTTAACAATTCAGCTGCATTATTTGAGTTATTAAATAATAATTAATAAATTAATAAGCCTACTATTGTAGAGATGAGATTTAGACAGTAAAAACCTTTTTAAAAAAGAAAAGATTTAGACAGTGAGAACTTGTTTTGTCTATCTATATATGTGCCATTTTTTAAGAAATCATGCTTGACTGGAGTCTTTGCAAAAGTGTTGCTCAGACCCAATAACTTATAAGAGATTCAAAGCTTTATAGAGTGAATTATATATTAAAAATGTAATTTATTTGTTGAATTTACTTAAATATTTTTAATAAGATAATATAAATAATTTTATTTAAAATAATTAAATAAATTTATAGAATAAATTATATTTTTAATATATAATTCATCCTATAAAATATATTATAAGAGCAAAATCAAATCTTACAAGGGGATGGAGAAAGAGATTCTTGAAAAATCACATATTAAACTTAAAAGTGGTTATCATTAGAAAGTATATGACTCATCCCTTAAAAGTGGAATTCACATCTTATTAGCTTAGCCATTATTTTTTAGTTGATTTTAACTTTCTTTTTCATAATATTAAAACATGCGGTATTGTACATCTGGACCTTCAAGTCTAATGGCAACGAAGCCACATTAAAGTGCTTTTTTTTTTTTTACAATAATTTGAATTCAACTCTTGTGAACATGTAAAGAAAAAAAAAAAGTGATATTGTATCTTAACTCTTTTTTCGTAATATTAAAACATGTGGTGTTGTATTGTATCTGGGTAACATGGTGCTTCAACCAGAAAATGTTCCCCAACCGTTGAATATCAAAGCTGTACATATAGTTATGTAAATTAGAGTCAGATCTGTACCAAAAAAAAAAAATTAGAGTCAGATTGACACGACTTCCAAAGCAACAACGAACTGGAATTAATTGGGGATTTAACTTCAAAAGTCTTATGAATTTTTTAATGCTGAAGATTTGGATCTGTACAGAGCCATTAAATTGAACCATTTTTAAAAGCCTATCATAGCTTCAACCAAAGACAACACCTACACACCCTCTGTTCTATGGTAGAAGCAGCTAAAGATCCCCTGCACAGAGAAAAAAGATTTTTTTCTTCTGGGTTTTCCCTGTTTTCTATATATAAGTAGAGCCGCCTAGCTCATACTTTCCTAGTTCCAGCATGGATATTGTCTCCTACAAAATTATTATGATAATATAAAAATTTGAATTTTTTTAAATATTAATTTTATTTTTTTTAATATATTAAAATTATTTACAAATTAATTAAAGATAAAAGAAATTTTTTTTCATAAGAATCAAACATGCAACCCACAAAAAATAAACAGTTATAATCCAGATACAACACCACTTAAGTCGAAAGGGTCATTCTAAAATATTAATTTTACTTATTTATTTATTATAGGAAGTATTTGATAGTTGTACACTTTCTCCGTTTGGTTTTATCAACTGTAGTTTTATTATTTTAATTTTTTAAATATAAATTTTACTTAAAAATTTAATAATTTATAAGAATAATAATTAAATTTTTTATATGAAATTTTTATTGAGTATTTTATTTAATTAAAAAATTAATTATTATTTATATAATATATTAAATTTTTATTTAAAAAATCAAGAATCAAAGTATGACTACTATAAAAATGAAAGGACAGCATAGTTATTAGTTTATAATTAATAAAATATTTGATATTTATTAATTAATCCATTTAATTTAGTTTTCAACTAGAGATATTTAAAT